ATTATCAGTTTGCACTGCTCATTAAGCATCTTTGCATAGTGGAAGAATAAAGTTGCCTGCTCTCTTTTTTTCTAGATTCTTGGTGATGGGGAGCTGAGTGTGAAGCTGGATATAAAGGCTCGTGCCTTCTCAGCAGCAGCGAAGGAGAAACTTGAGGCTGCTGGCTGCAACCTCACTGTGTTGCCTGGTAGGAAGAAGTGGGTAAAGCCATCAGTTGCCAAGAACCTTGCACGTGCTGATGAATACTTTGCCAAGAAACGAGCCGCCGCTGCTGCTGCTGCCACTGACTCGGCATCTGCATAGACCACCTCATAGTCAGCCTGTACAAGACTGTAGGTGAATTAGTACATGGTAACAATTTTTTAGGCATGTGAATCTTCTTTCCTGTTATTATCATTTTACCTTATGTGGAATTATAGCGTAACTGTTGGCTATTGTTGTACAACGTGAGAAGTAATATTTGTCAATCCTTGAATTGGCCGTGACATAGTGATCTATAGGTTTTTTATTGGCATCCTTACTGGGAAATTATTTGTGAGTCAATAAAATTGATCAGCGTCGCGTTTGATTTGCCTGTGATACAACTCATTTGCTCCCTTAGTGACATTGTTGAGTGATGCATTACTCTTGTTGATGCAAAAATCAGCGAGACCCTCCAGTCACTTGGTTAGGATAATATGTAAAGGGATAGAGATAGAGAAGCATTCACAAGATGTACGTGCTTCATCCTATGTTTGGCTACATCGACGGAGCAAAGGAGTTCTTATTAATAGTGAAGGATTTACACAAATACTTAGGTTCAAGCATAATCATCATTAGTGAATTCTAATGACTAATTTAATTACAATAATGACATTTTTCTTAGAGCAAGTCCACCCCTAAGGACTTTGTGCCAGCACCCAGCGCATTTATCCACTCAAGTGAACAGTAATAGACCCTAGTGAACAGTAATAGACTAAAGCATCTCCACCCCTAACAAAAAATACCATAGTCCATTTTATTAAAATATCATTATTTTTTATTATAAAATAATAATTTTATTTTTAATTTCTGAATTTATAAAAAATAAAATAATAATAATAATAATATCTAAATTTATTAAAAAAATTATGTATTTTTTAAAAGTGAAATTCTTAATTTTTGGGGGGAAAAACATGGACCGTTGATCTGTGATCGGACGGTCCATTTTAAAAGTCAAATTTAATTTTTTTTTACCGTTGGAAATCCAACGGTCTACAAAAACTAGCTGGTGGAAATCCAACGGCTATGAGCATGCCACGTCGCTAATGGGCTCCGAAGCACAAGTGGGCTGACAACCCTCTACAGCCTTGTCAACTACTCGCGCCCACGCGCGATTGTCTTGCACGCGCCAGCCAAATAGGGCGGCTCTTGGGTCTGTCAAAATTGGGCTGGTCTGTTGCCTGGCATGGGCTAGGTGCCAGACAACTTTGTGGGCTAGAGCAAATTGACTGAGGGCCAGTTTGTTTTTTGGACTGAGGGTTGAGACATTTTATTCCCGGTGGACTTGCTCTTAATTGTAGGAGAATGACCTTCTTTTATAGTTGAGGAGAGTCTCCGACTTTCGTCTGCGGTCGATGTGGGACTCTAGGAGCTTTATTTTAACGTTGACACGTGTCGTATTGTGATTGACTTCTTGGATGGATGGAAACTCTTGTGCTTTGGCAGGGGTGCCTTAGTATGAATCCTTAAGTGGGTCTTTAAATGTATAAAGTTGACCGGTACTTAATAGTTTTGAGATTGGTCAAGCCTGGTACAAATAACTCTCACTCAACAATTAGATATACGTCATGCCCGGCTTTGGCAAATGATAGGAAATGGGCGTGAAGCAAGTAATTTTCCGTTGGTTTGTCAAATGATTTGGATTTTTCCTCTAAAAGCAAGGGCAGGGACCTAAGGCAAAATGATGGTGATGCCGACCAAAGTTTAAGTGATTAAATAATTTGGGTCATCAGTCTGGACATCGCATGGGAAATCATGGCTGTCGAATGTCAATGCGCACCAGCGTTTGCTATTCCAAAAAATGTGATGGAGGATTCTCTCTCTAATCTCTGGTCCCGGAGATCGAAATGCATCACGATCAAAATCTTAGGAAATTGATAGCGTGTCCAATTGCTATTCCATAACATCATTAGGACGTTGTCAAATTTGCTTCGCCTCCCAGGTTCCGCAATTCCGACTTTACAAGGTGGTCCCTTTAAGGCAGTGTCGCAACTGCTACATTACCCATCTATGTACATGTTTCACGTTAGAAACAGGGCCAATTGCATCATTTTAGTCTCAAAAATTGCCTACGGCTGTAAATATTTATGAGTTTTGGTTTAATTTGGGTAAAAGCTGGTCATGTCAAGTTATCAAATAACTTATGATAAATTGATGATGACCTAACCCTACATTTTACACAACTCATGTGGACAGGTATAATAGAAACGTAAAAGCACAATCAAGCCATATCTGGCTTTTTAGCAAAATTGGCTTATGAAATTTGCATAACTACTCACTTTGGTCTTGAAAATTTGAAATAGATAGAATTGGTCTATGAGATTGTCCAGAATCAATCATTTTGGTCATTCTATGACAAATCTCCATAAAATAACAAAGATACTCTCAATTTTGGTCAAACTATTTTGACATATTGTTTATTAAATTGAGGGTAATTTTGTCATTTTGATTCATATTTAACGTAATTTTTCACCCAATGACCAAAATGATTGATGGTAGACAATCTCAATGATCATTTCTATTTATTTCAAATCTCAGGAACTAAAATGAGGAGTTATGCAAATCTCCATGACCATTTTAGCTAAAAAACCTAAATATTTCCAACCCAAATAAAGGAAGTTATGGTGAGTTGAAGAAATTTAGGTTTAAATGACCAGATGACGTAGTTGTCGCATCACGTGCAAATTGTTAATTTACTTGTATTTTGGTTTCACCTGCCTCTCCTCCGACCTCCTTTGCCCCTCTTGATTAGTAGCCTAAAGTCATAAGCTTCAGCTCACATCCACCTTTACTTGGGTTGTTCTACTTAAAAAACAAAAAAAAAAAACGGAGAGATGGAAGGGTATGGCATGTACATTTAGATTGGGCAATTGTCGACAAAGCGTTCGTGCATTGTAACCTCGGTAGGAAACACATCACATGGTTACCGCTTATTAGAGGGGGTGTTGAGATAGAGCGAAATGTACAGTCGTACATGATCCCAAATTTAAAGGGATCTCTACATTTTTGTCATCAAACATCATGTAATAATGTTCGATATATCAAAAATTGATTTTGTTAGCACTTTAAAACCGCATTGTGCATTCTTTATAAAAGTTTCTTAATTTGAGTATCAATAATAACATCCTAAAAATGATAGTTTCTTAATTTTATTATATAACAATGTTATATATTCAAGTGAAACTTTAAAGTTAAGAGGTTTGAAGTTTTTTTTTCATGATTGGTTGTTTAAGATAAAACTACTTTTGATTATTTAGTGAATGTTATATTTGTAACTCTTTTTACTTATCATTAATGACATTTGTAAACATGCAATCAGTGAGTACTAAAGTTTGTTTTTATTTTTGTTAACAAACGATAGTATCTACACTAATGGGGTGGGAGAGTAGGTTAAGTCTCATAATGAGCTATCAATAATGTGGTTCAAATTCGTCTTTGGCGAGAATTAAACCTAAGACCTCTCACTTACAAATGAAGAGAAATATCACTAGGCTGAAGTATTAAGTCGCTTTGTTTTGATTTAAGTGAATGTTTTCTAATATCAATACATTGTCATAATTTTTTAAAAACTTAAAAATATCTAAATGGGGACCTCTTTTACAAATTTTCGTACAGGACCTTCAAAATCTCAAAGACGACGATGCCACGTATCATATATAGGATTAGAGTTTAGTTCCACCACCAAGTCCAAACATGCAAAAACCAAATTTCAAATACACATCGTGGATCATGATCCGCGACAATTCGAAATTTTGATTCAAGCTGCAACAGTTCCTTGGTATTTCATCAATGCATGAACAACAACGGCAACAATAAAGTTTTATCTTTTTAAGTAGGGTTGGTTGTATAAATTCTAAAATATCATCGCACTCAATTTTATGCTAAGTATTTTCAAAATTTAGTTAAGTTTGTCTGTGTATGCTATTTTCGTTCTTAATCGTGTCGTTTCTCGTTCTCAAAATTTGGTTTAAGTTTGTCTGTGTGTGGCATTCTGTCTTGCTTTTGGCCGTTTTACTTTTTTCAACGCGGGTAAGGACACCAGTTGTATTGGGGATATCTATGGCGGGAAGGATGTTAGATTTGAGGCTATTTTACCGCCCAATTGCAATGTCAGATACAAAAGGTCGGCAAATCATGGCCATCACTACTTTGTCTTAAACCAAGATTGGGAAATGTCACCTTATCATGTTCGTTACAAAAAAAGAAGTCCCAACTTTTATTTTATGGGCAAGTTAACTAGATTAGGGAACAATAGATATTAAAATCCTATCAGTTGTTTTACCAAAATTTTTAAAAAAAAAGGCATCCGTTTATGTTTTTTGGACGTTTACTTGTATGATCTTAGTTTATGACGTGACAAATGTAAGCATGTTTGTAACTACGTAAAAGTCGAAGTCGTATAACTAATTTTAGTTAATGAAATGTAGGTGTGGCTTTCGAGTCGAGCAAAAGATAATCCTCTAATTGCCATGTCACCAATTTAACAATGCACAAAATAGTCAAACAACTAAAAAAACATATATTTTAAAACTTAGGAGTGGGATGTGATAAAATTGAAATTTCGAATTTTGTCAATCAAATTAACCTGGCTTCTCACTCAAGGAGGAGTTGGTCTTTAAGATATTTTGTCATCGATTCACTAAACTTTTTGTTTATGATCAAAATTTTTTGTATTATAAATCACTTACATAATTATCTACACGAAAATGTCAATAAAATATGTCAGGTGTGTGGACACGTGTCATCATATTACGCAAGTCATGGGGTGGGCAAAGGCAAATAGGGCACAGCGGATTCGAACTCATTCTCGCGGGAGGCACCGCCAGCGTGAAACCAAATAACCAATAACACCTTGACAACCCAACCCAAGAAAGATATTTTATTTTTTTAATAAAGAATTAAATAAACGAAATAGTATTTAATCCCACGTTGAATAATTAAAAAGATAAAAATCTGAGAGGCTTTCTCGTTCTTCGCACTCCTCTGGCACGATAGATTTTTTCAATCGTCACATAAAATGTTATATTACGTGTTACGATATAAATAGTAAAATATATTTTTTATTAAAAAGTTAAAATTTTTAAAAATAAAAAATTTCACAATTTATATAAAAACAAATAACATTTCTGTTACAATAAAAAATTTCTCTCTTGCACGCCGCACAGCTCTTGCCTTTTCCCCTTTCTCTCTCCTCCTCTTTCTTTCTCTCTCCGATTTAATTCGAATTTTTAATATTTATTTTTTTATGATTCTTTTCTTCCTCTATAAATGGGGTGGACTCTCTCTTTTATTAACCTTGTTTCCTTTCCTGTCCTTCATTTACCTCTCGCCTAATTTTTGCTTCCTCTTTCCGTTTCTGTTATGATATCTCTGTAAAAATTAGGGTTTCCTTACACAGGCAGCCAAGCAGCTCACCTCCTCACTCCAACTTCGGGTATTTACATCTTCTTTTTTTCCTGATTTTATTTATTTTTTTTCATTTTCTGTTGCTTCTGATTGTTCAAAACCGATGCGATTCGCAAGTTTTGTAGAGAAATGATTTAAGTTCAGATCAGATCTGTTCAGTTTACACCTAATTAAGCACGTTTTGGAGATTAATACGTATTAACGATTCCAAGCGAGGAAGAGATGAATCATGCGATTCAGCAAGAAACGTTTTGAGGACTTGTTCAAGAGACCGGTCGTTTGTCCCAAATGCCGTTTTGGTCTCCTTAGCGACGGAGATCTCTCCGATGGCATCTCGGGTAATTCGCCGATTTTGTATCTGTTTAGGGCCAATTATCCAAATTTCAGCCACCAAGCGGAGCTCTATGATTCGAAAGCAGGGTCTGATATTTTGGACATCCTCCTCCCAAAGGTATATAAAAATTTCTGGATCCGCAGTTGCTATTTGAAAAAAATTAATTAAATTTAAGAATTATGCTCAAATAGGTTAATTGGGAAGTGATTAGCATCCGGTTCTTATTGATTTTGTTCATGTTGGATTTTATGCAGGGATCTTTTGGTGTTGAGCCATTTTCATGTACAGAAATAGCCTCGCCGCACCCATTTTTCTGCGGGTCACCGCCGAGCAGAGTAGCTAACCCATTAATTCATGATGCTAGATTTGGGGATGGGAAACCCACCCCATTGTCGCCACTGTCGCCAACCGCTCCCCCATTGGACCTTTCGTCGTCTCCTTCATCATCAGCAAGGAAAGGAGGCTTCGTTCGGGCCAGTTTCGGGAACAAGCCAGCAGTGAGGGTCGAGGGGTTTGATTGCCTGGACAGGGATCGACGTAATTGCAGCATCCCGACCCTGGCATGAGATCCCAATTCAACCGATGAAGGTACATAGCAAAAAAGACTGAGCTTAAAGTTTGAATAGACAACCACAATACTTTGATAGCATGTGAGGAAATTTTGAAATTTTCAGCGCAAGAACTTCAACAATCCTTCTGCCTTGTGTAAATATGTGCGAGGGATTTGTGTAAATGAAATGTGTCAGTGTCGAGTATGTAAATGAGAATGTTAACCAAATAATCAACGGGTTCATAGATCGAGTCTAGGAGTGGTTACAAGGGGGTGGTGTGTTCTACCACAACACCCTCTTGTATTGTAAAAAGTAAGTCTCTTGTGGGAAAATTTTCGTTGTGTTTCCATTTAGGTGTGTCGGAGTTTAAACTAGCGGTTTATGAAGCGAATCTGTATGTATTGAAGATTCTGTTTAGTCAATCTAAACGGTTCTTTACTGTGTAAATAAATCGTTTGTGTTTTAGTTCATCTTCCGCCTGTGTATGAGCTACAATTAATTGCTTTGCATACCCCTTTCTTGATCTGGTTTTAGTTTCTCGTGTAACCCACATCCCCTTGCTTAGCGTCATGCCTAAGCGATGGGATGTGGGTTACACGCTTAGCGTCATGCCTAAGCGATGGGATGTGGGTTACATGCGTTTGAGGATTATTCGGTTTGTATCACTGGAATCTACGATACATGCGTTTGTAAAAGCAGAGTTTCTCTGATCTGCTTTACTTCAAACTTTTATTCGGAATGGCAAGCATGTTTTGCTTTGGAATAACCTTGGTCGGAGGGGAAGGTCGGAGCAGAGGGAGGGGAGGGAAGGGAAACAATCCTTTCCCTGGACATCACTATCGGAGGGGAGGGTCGGAGCGGAGGGAAGGGGAGGGAAAAAATCCTCTCGCTGGACAAATAGAGTGATGTCAGTTGTTTCAACTTCTCTTCATGGCATCCTGGTTGTTGTCCGGGATGTAACGGTGGCATTGAGGTTTTCGCAACGAACGAGGTGCAGGTCGCTTCCTAGGTTTTGTTCCAAGTCCACACTGCACAAAAGTTAAAAATATGATACTACTTTTAAACCGAATTTTTTGTCTCTTTAAACTAAATGGAAACCATGTAATTTAAGCTACATTCGTCATTAAAAAATGAAACCAGATCCCAGAGGATAACTAACGGGCCCTAAATATTTTGAATACGCATTGTTTCATCATCGTCCTTGATTCATATTTAGCCTAAAATTTTGACCAACAAGGATTTTGATTGAGTTGATAACAATCTTGATTTGGCTAAATTAAGATTTAAGTTTGAGTCTTGCTCATGGTAATCCTTTTTGATGGGTGATATTTAAAAATCAGAGGAATGAGAACTTTTTCTGTAAGTTTTCAAAGAAACTTGTGGTATATCCGTTAAAAGACAAAATTCACTTTGGGTTGAATTGAATTTGTACCGCGGGAAAGGTAAGAATCCTTTGGATTTTTTATACAAAGGAAAATGATTAGGTTTGTTTTTAGTACATCCAGTAACTACTGACAAAGCTGGCGAAGGGCCAATCGAGGCACATGGCACTTTTTTTTTTTTTTAAGGACACTTCGCACTTGTTTTAATCAATGAAAAGAGGGATTTATTTGGACGGAGTATAATTCTTTTTTTTTTTTTTTTTTCTTCCTTCCTATTTAAATGAATTTTTCCAGGGAAATTTTTGAAGATAGTAATTAAGAAAACGAACGGTTTCGAATAAATTAATAAAAAAATAGTAAATGAGATGATGTGCCCATGGGTATGCTTTTTAAAAAAAAAAAAAAAATACCAAACGAAATTATCTACACTACTAAAGTGAGGAGAATGACTAAGCCTCATTATAAACTAACAATAATGTAATGTAAGTATTGTCTTCATTTAAGTACTTTTATAATTTTGTTAGTCTTTAAGTATTTCTATAATTTTCTTAAACCTAACTTTTGGTACATCGTACTTCAAAAACTTCTCGAATTGAGGACTTACATGTTACAGATACAAAATCAAATAGTATAAACTCAACCGTGTCAATTTCAACAATGTCACACCCAAATAAAATTTGAAACGACTCAAATAATATCATTAACACAAAATGTCTCATCAATCGTATATTCGTATTATGTATTATGTAAAGTTATTTACTCCCACACATCTCATATTCCTCGCTTGTTTCCACCTCTCTCTCTCTCTCTCTCTCTCTCTCTCTCACAGTTGCCCATGCCCATTTCCAAAAATTTTATGTTAATTTAACACACGATTCTTTGTTCACTCTCTTTTTTCTCATGAGCCATTGGCTCTATAAATTGGATGGAGACCCTCCTTCGTCAAACCTTGTTTCCAACCAACCAAACACCTTCCCTCTCCCCCCTAATCTTCCACTCCATTTTTCCAACCAGCAGCTAACTTCTTCACTCAGACTCAAAGGGTAAGCTCCCATGATTTTTTATTTTATTTTTAATTAATGGGTTTCCCTTGTTTCCATCAAACTATTCGGTAATTCCAATTTCTGTGTTCGGATCTGGCGTTTTCGAATCCTTTAGTTTTCTTCGTTTTTGAAAATCCGAGTCCGACTTCTCAAGATCTCCTTCCTCAAATTTTACGCACGAGTTAAAAATCCGTTTTCCGCTACAGTTTCTCCAGATCAGATCTGTTCAGTTTACATCTACTATGCTCCTTTTTTGGATTTGTCGTCCGTCGAGTTTTCAATTTCCTTTAATTTATTTGCTTGACCAGGTTTTACGTCGTCGTTTTGAACCGAGGAGAAAATGAATCACTGTGCGATGCAGCAGGGCAGTGCTCTCTCAGCTTGCGAAGACATGAGGTCTTGCTCCAGAGACTCCGTCGTCTGCCCCAAGCCCCGCCGCCTCGGCCTCCTCAACGATCCCGTCAGATCTTTCCGGTGGCATTTCGGGTATTTCGAATTTCTCTCTGTTTTGTGAAAGTTTTGTTTTTTCTTTTTTTAGGGTTTCGAAATTCAAATTATGAAGTTTTGTTATTTGATTCCAGCCACCAGGCGGAGTTCTGTGATTCAAATGCTGGGTCTGACATTTTAGACAATATTCTCACTAAGGTACTTCCAGATCTGCAGTTAGATTAGTTAAGATTTAATCTGTTCAATTAACTCAATGCTAATTAGGCAATTAGGATCATTAAGTCAGATTCATTGTGCCTTGAAAGAACCAATGTGTATGGTTTATAATCCATTTGTTGATGTTTGGTCTGTGTAGGGATCTTTTGGTGCTGAACAATTTTCGTGTACAGAAATGGCCTCGCAGCACCCATTTTATAGCGGGTCGCCGCCTAGCAGAGTAGCTAACCCATTAATTCAGGACGCTCGATTTGGGGATGAGCAGCTCATCTCGTCCTCAGCACTGTCGCCAATACCTGCCCTGTCAGGTCAGTCATCGTCTCCTTCCTCGTCCGCGAGGAAAGGAGGCTGTGTTCGGACCAATTTTGGGAGCAAACCGGCAGTGAGGGTTGAGGGGTTTGATTGCCGGGACAGGGATCAGAGGAACCGCAGCATCCCTACCCTGGCATAAAGAGCCCGATTCAATCAATCAACGAAGGTACATAGGAGAAAATTGAGCTTAAGTTTTCTATACTTGATAGCATTGAGAGGAAATTTTGAAATTCTCGGTGAGTGAAGGAAGTAGATCCTTCTGTCTAGTGTACATATATGTTCGAGGGATTTGTGTAAATGAAATGCGTTGTGTAAGTAAATAACGAGCGGGGTTCGGATGTCTTATTTAGGAGAGGGCTCTGAGGGGGTGTGAGAACAGATTCTGTTTGTGTTCTCTACCACACCACCCTCTTGTATTGTAAAAATTAAGAGCCCATTGTTGGAAAGTTTTCATTGTGTTCCATTTAGGTGTTTCGGAGTTTCAGCGAGCGGCTTATGAAGCTTATGAAGCGAATTTGTACAAATTGAAGTTGCTGTTGGGTCGATCCGAACAGTCATTTACAGTGTAAATATACCATTTGTGTTTCTGTTATCTTCTGCTGTCCGCTATTTGCTGTGTTTCTACTTTCCGAATTGATCGTTGATGCTTTTCTCAAAGAAAAAGAAGAAAAAACAGCTTGAAAGAATCGTTCAGCTTATGATCCGCGCAACTTTATTCGAAATGGTGAGCATCTATATCCTGTTGGAACCCTTTTGTGTGGATGAAGAAGATGCAGAGTGGACATGTTTTCCGAAAGTCAGTCGAAGCCAATTGGGCTTTTGATCGAAGAATTTCTCTCTTTACAATTAAGACGTAGTTAATTGGTATCTTCCGTCCTCATCCAACAGATGACTATCACGCCTTTAAGGTTATTATTAAACAAGAAGAAAGCAACATAATAAAATTATGAAACACGATTCAGTTAAAAGTGCAAATTGTGTTGAAGCCGATTGATCTCTTAAGCAATTGGGGTTTTCTTACTTCTTGTCTGCTTAAGAAAATTTGGGTTTAAAACGACGTTGAGCGGTGCGATTATGATAACCATTGACTAATTTAATCGGTTTAAATCCTACATCAAGACATTGATGATGATAGTTTAACACAAAAATATAACGAGTCTCACAAAACAAAATCAACACAAAGATTTTGTTATACAAGAAGAAAGAAGGTGCACATTGAGTGTGCTTGAATTCGTTTCAAGAAGGGGGACCCGCCTCCAGAAACAGGGGATATTATATTGAGAGCATTTTTGCTCACCATCATAAACTATGGTGTATACTCACCATAAACCTAATCAATTGACACATGTCATTTCAGTTAACTCTACTTAACTTTCACATTAAATGTTAGTTTTTCAATTTTGAAAAAAATTAACCAAGATTAAGTGAAATGACACGTGTCAATTGAAAGTGGTTGGTTAGTTGCGGGGGACCCGGATCCTGAGAAGGGGTCCACATGATCCACTGATTCCAAGGAGCTACGTGAAGTTATTATTAAGCAGGAGCAGGAACCTACTTTAACATCGTCTTATAAATGCACATTGTCAAACAAATCTCCCCCTTAAAACATTGGTGTTAATGTCGGTTAAATTATTGGGAAGTGTTATTAGTGTTTCAAAATTTTCATTTTACATTTTTTATATGTGTATTTTTCTTTCTAAATATAGAAAGTTTGAAGTATAAAATGAGACTCTGGAAGTGCCAATAACAATTCTCAAATTATTTATTCTGATATTTGTTACAATGGTACCTACAACTAAAATTTTAAAAAGCATTAGATGCTAGTTCGGCAGTGAATTGCAATATAACATATAAAATTTTAATGATGGTCTAAGAAATAAACATTTAAGATCGTCAAACGTTAAAATCTCAACTAATTAATGAAACCCTCTTTGTCAATCAAAAGATGATGAAAAGACAAATTAGTCTTCTATCACACAAAAAAATGATGGGTAATAATGTCATTTCACAAGTTCAAACGTTACTATTTTTTATTAAAACCTCACCTACATATGATGTTAAAATACCTTCAA